AAAGTCCATTCATGCTGAATGACATGACTAAACAGTGAAGGAGAGAACAGTTGGTGTGTTTATAGCTCTTAGGTAAATACCGCTTGTTATTGTCACTCTGAGGCTTTAAGAGAGGTGGCACCATTCCTGGTCTGGGACTGAACTTTTGTCAGTTCTGTCTTTCAGCAACCTGGAAAGACGGGTTTGAAAAAAATAGGAGTCTGAAAGGGACTGTGATTAAGGGGAGGGAAGGGTATGAGAAAGAAACCAGAATACTGAAAGAGACACAGAGAGCAGGGGAGAGAGAGGAGGACAGGCGTGCACACAACCACATGCATGCGCATGCACACAGGTGCACAATGAAGCAGAGAGCTGATGATTTGATGCTTAATGGGATCTTTTACCAGATACCACACTCTATGTACTCCTTCCTTAGCACTGCTAGGGACCCCATATGTATGCATCATTTCTCAATCTTTCTGGCTCCACACCAGCTTCCACTAACATCTAGGATGTGCAATTTTTCCTCCCAGACCTGGTTGGGACCAAGAAGGGAGATGATGTTGGCTAGATTATAAGAATCTGCGTAAGAAGGTTGCCAGGCATCAGCAGGAAGGCCAAGAGGAAAAGGAGCCTTTTTGAGGACAGGACGTCTCTATGTTGGGGATGGAAGATCCATGTGATTATGAGAAACACATGACTCGGAAAGCTCACGTGTGGACGAAAGGATGCATGAATGGGAAAAGTGGAAAACTGGCTATCCCTCCTAACTAAGATCCTGGGTGACTTAGAGTCTGTGAATTAAGCTCTCTGTGCTCTTATGATGGGAGTTTGCACCAAATGAGCATCTCTTAGACTAAAAAGTATTTGGATCACACACCACGTCCTCTTTGAATTTTAGTCTCTGGTTAGAAACCATCAAGTATGACTTTAATTCAGAGTAAAATGGCTTGAAAACACCCCTGTTGGCTAGATATTATTGTGCTCCCAGACTAACCACTCTAAATACTTCTCTTTGAGTTGTCACAAATTTAGTAATAATTCCTTTACTTCATTCAGTGCCCAATTCTTTTCATAAACTTTCCAAAAGAGACAATAGACTATTATGATAAAGACCAGAAGTCTGGACTCAGCTAGACAGCAGTTAAAATCTCAGCTCAGACACAAACCAGGCAGGTGAGTTCAAGCAAGAGTCTCTACCTCTATGAACCTCAGTTTACACATCTGCAAAATGGAAAGAACAGTAGTAACTATCTCATGGGGTTAGAATGAGCCCTAAAAAGAAAGAGAGAGAGAGAGAGAGAGAGAGAGAGAGAGAGAGAGAGAAGCTAAGTGCTTAGCACAGTGCCTTCATGTATAAATTATCCATAAATTATAGAATTATTAAATATTAGAATCTCTCCATTCCCACAATACCAGTAGAAAGTTTGTTTTTATCCCCATCTAAAAGGTGAAGAAACTAAGAGATAGAGAATTTGAGTGACATGTCCACAGTCTGAAGCTAAAGTTGAAGCAGGACCAGAAAGAAAACAACCTCTATCTAACTATATCCTTTAAAAAAAAAAAAAAAAAAAAATATATAAAAAAAAATATATATATATATATATATATATTATTGATTTTTTTTAATAGAGAGGAAGGGAGAGGGATAGAGAGCTAGAAACATCGATGAGAGAGAAACATTGATCAGCTGCCTCCTGCACACACACTACTGGGGATGTGCCCGCAACCAAGGTATATGCCCTTGACCGGAATCAAACCCAGGACCCTTGAGTCTGCAGGTCGACACTCTATCCACTAAGCCAAGCCAGTTTCAGCTACCTCTATCCTTATAACCTCTCTGAACTGAGCTTTCAAGGGGCTAAGCTTTGGTGGAGAGCATGTGAAGAGAGAAGAAGAGCTGAGATTTAATCTTGGGAAGCACATACAGTTAGAAGGATGGGGAGAATAAGAACTGAAGAAGGAGTACTCAGGAAAGCAGCAGAAGAAAACTATTACAAAAATCAAGGGAATAGATCTTTTCCAAAAGTAGATAGCAGGCCACCTGTGTCAAACAACATAAAGTCAAGAGAAAGGACTTTGAATCTGAACATATTTAATTCAACAAATATTGATGGAGACCCGTACATACGTTAGGCACCTCCTAGCTCTAGGAATACGTTGGTGCACATGGCAGACTAGGTCCCCCCTCTCCTGGAGCTTACTATTTGGCAGGAAAAGTAAAGTACTAGAAAAGTAAACTAATAAATTAAAAAATATAATGTCAGATAGTGTAAGTTCTGAGAAGAAGGTAAAAGGAAGATAATGTACTAGGAACTGATGGGAGGTAGGTGAGCCCCTGGAGCCAGTGTGATCAGTTAGCAAAGGCGACTTCTTGAACTGAGACCTACATGACTAGAAGGAGCCAGCCTCGGGAAGATCCAAAGTGCATTTTAGAAAGAAGGATCCTCTAAACCAAGTCTCTGAGGCCAGAATGAATTTGACTATGTTTTTAATAGGGCATTTGCAGTGACTTGATGTGAACAGAAGCCACATTATGATAGACGATGGAAGAGAACTGACTTACAGGGAAATAGATTGCCTCAGTGGGTGGACTACTTATTCAGGAAGGTGGCCTTAAAAAGAAGGGAAAAAATGGTACCACAGCTTTTTAGAGCAGAGAGTGGGCAGTGCCAGCCATTCCAATTTGGGGATCTTGCCTTTCCCTTGCCATTTCATGATCTCCCTGCACTGCCAGGATTCTCAACCTGAAAGACACATCCTTGGAACGAACATTCATATTAATGACTGTAGGGTATTTGTGGGGTTTGGCGATAAGAATAATCAAATCCTCCCACACCAAGACTCCACTGACAGCATCAAACTTGTTTGCACTGGTAGATGCTGTCACCATTCCAGCAAACACAGAGATATTTGCTTTGGATCGTTATTTTTTTGTTCTCTATGATTCAGGGTCACCTTTGGTTTCTATGGCTAACTGGATCTTATTTCACTGTTGGTTAGTTTCACTCACTACCTTTCCCACCCTTACCCCATCCTCCCAGGCTAGATTCTAGAGTAGTTCTGTCCAATAGAACTTTCATTGATTATGGAAATGTTCTATATCTGCACTGTCCAATACAGTAATCATCAGCCACATGTGGCTATTCAGCATTTGGGATGCGGATAGTGCAATTAAGGAACTACATTTTTTTATTAATATAATTTGAACTAAGTTAAACGTAAATAGCCACATGTGGCTAGTCCCAGTAGTTTTGCACAGATAGTTATAAAAAGTTAACATTCAGGGAGCCTGGACAGTGTGGCTCAGTGGTTGAACATCGACCTAGCTATATTTCTAGCTGTACAGTCTTGACCAGGTTCAATTCCTGGTCAGGGCATATGCTCGAGTTGCCTGTGGGGCATGCAGGAGGCTACCGATCAACGATTCTCATTCATCATTGATGTTTTTATCTCTCTCTCTCCTTTCCTCTCTGAAATCAATAAAAATATATTTTTTAAAAATTCAGGAGAGTTTACATTTCCCAAAGAAGTCATTTTGCAAGTTCATGGTGATTACTGAGAAATGCATCAATGCAAATAAGTAATGCCTAAGGCAGTGAGGGGATTTCTTTTCAATGAGAAAAAAGAAAAAAGAAAAAGAAAAAGGATATATACAAAGTTGGCCAAGTTTGATGCACATGAACATTTTCAGCATACTAATTTGGCCCGATGTGAAAATACTGCTTCTTCTATGTCAGAGAAGTGATATTTAAAGAACATAATTTCCCTAAGTGTGTTTTAAAAGTGGTTTCATGAAATTTTCTTTGATGAAAAGCATCTGTTTTCAAATATTCTTGGGAAATTGGGAACACTTTTTCTCTCTCATAGATTCACAATGCACATTGTCACAATAAAGGCTCTGAGAAATTCTAACAGTAGGTAACCCTGAAATACATAGTTTAACTCGGTATTAACCATGAAATTGTATGTGTGTGTGATATTAGCATCATGGCAAAGTAGAGAATATTAGGGGTAAGTGTATGGACTTTGGGAAAAGTCCCACTTATTTCTAGTCGTACAGCCTTGAGAAAGTCATTTAACCTTTTCTGACCTTCATTTTTCCCTCATTTAAAAATTGGGAGTAATATCTATATATCACAGACTTCCATGAAGATCAAATGGATGTCAAGAATACATCACAGATCCTGGGATTAAGGGAATTTTTCCAAAATGATTGGCTATTATTATTTTCATTATTATTAATGAGGTCAAATGACTGAATGACTGGGACTTTCTGGGCCCGGGAGAAATAGCATTGAATACCTTCCTGCATTCATTCTCAACACAACAGCCAGAGGGGTCCCTTTAAACCAGAAGTTGGAGCATGTCACTATTCTGTGCACCCCAACCCCCATCTCTCTCAAAATAAAACCTAGAGCCTTCATTAATGGCCTCTAAGTTCTATGTGATCTGGTCGACTGGGGCCTCTTTTACACTATTTCCTTTTATTGCTTAATCTATCTACTCTGATAAACACATTTTCTTGCTGTTCCTTGGATATGTTAGAAACACACTTACCTCAGGACCTTTGCACTTGGCTGGTCCCTTTAATAAAGAATCATTTCCCCAATTATAATCATGGCTCCTTCCCTTATATCCTTCAGATCTTTACTGGAATGTTCCATTCTTAATCCTGCCTACACTTGCAATATAGCCTACATACTCCGGCACTCTTCTCTTCCTTGCTCTTCCTTTCTTGACCCCACATCAGTCTTGCTCTGTTTTGTCCATTAGTGCTTTGTTTCTTGCCCGTTTCCATTTGACAGAACATAAACGTCATGAGAGCAGTGTGTTTTGTCTCTCATTCTCTGCCATAACTCAGTGCCTAGGACAGTGCCTGGCACAGAGTGGATGCTCAATAAATGCTTACTATATCGATAAATGTGGGAACTGCCTAGGTTTTGTTGCTGTAGACTACATGCATTTCCTCTAAGCCCAGCTGTGGATGGTTTGTGGAAGCATGGAACACACAGTTACAAGATGGTCTATGTGGCTTTTATTAGTGCTTTCCGGGACCCAGAAAACAAGCAAACAAACAAAAACAACAACAAAGGTATTTTGAAAAATATAATTCTTTCATAGAAGAGGAGTACTCCATTTGAATTTAACATAGTTTAAAGGGCGAGATTTCTAATCTTTAAAAAATAAGGTCATTTCCTACAAATTGTCTACCCAGAAATCAGACGGAAAGAAAAGCGAGATTTGTGTAGATAGCTATGAAAAGATTAATCCCAATTTAGCTAAGTTTGTGACGGCTTATACATTTCAGTGGTTCATAAGGCACAGCTTGAATGGGTTTTTATTAAATGCTGTATCTCTTATTGCAGAAATGGGATCCTGAGAACCAACACTGAGGCTAATTCAGCTCTGATATTGTGACTGCCAGGTTGCTCTTCCTTTAAGACAGTATGTGCTCATCACCCATTATGTTCATATGGAGTGTCTATGCCACCCCATAGAATTAGATAAACTCTTAATGGACTTGGTTTCCTGCAGTGTATATAGTAGGCACTCAACAAATGTGGTTGTTTTTTTTAAACTACAGAAGAATAATATAATTGCTTTCCCTCTTACTATTTTTCCTATCTTTTATACATTTGGAAAACACACTTGCAAAACTAAAATCTAACATGCATGACTCACCTTATCAAAAGATCCCTCCATACTTTTCAAAAAGAAAAAAAAATACATATATAAACCAATCCCCAAATACTAAAACTTAGAATTGCTTTACACTTAAATAGCAATTTACATCATATAAACACATTTATAATCTTCATCAGTTAAAACAGGTCAAAGGCACATTCCTGGTTTCTTATACCAGACAAATCTCACAGTTCCTAATAAAGCAACAGAAGTCTCATCCAAGTCTCATGACTTTCGGGAGCAAGCGGCCTGTTTTGGTTTCATTTCAGTGATGGTTAGAAGGCAAAGTCAGGAGTCTCACAATAAAATGTTCATCTAATAGGTCACATGTCCTTGATGTTACGGCCGTTGGGCTCTTATTTCTGTGAAGAAATGATTCACATCCCAATTCTGGGTCTGGCCTGCCAATCCAAGGAGTCTTCCAGAAGACATTCATTTATTAACTCAACAAATATGTATTGAGCACCTATCTCATGGTAGGCACGGGGGGATGGGGTGAGAGGGCGGGTATTGATAAGATGTAGTCCCTGCCCACAAAGAGCTTACAGTCTAGAAAGGCAAACACTTTGAGAAAGGACTAGCTTCTCTAAAGGAAAACTCATAACCTGGGTCTGCCTGGCTCAGAAGGCAAGTTCAAGAAGCTGTAGGTATGGCCCTGGGAACCAGAGCCGTACTCAAGTTTCATCAAGTCAAATAACTAGGCACCATGGATAACCTGAGTCTGGTAAAGTCTTAGCAATATATTTCCTGCCTCGGGTTCCCATGAAAACTACATATAAGAGCCTAAGTCTTTAGCTTAAGGAAGGTTTAAGACCATGTGAGTACCCAGCACAGACAAGCTTCTCAAGGGAGAAGCTGTGTGTCCCCCCAAAAGAAGGGGTTGCTTCACCTGATGCTGGCTTATTTCTGGGATTTTACCCTCCCTTTCAACACTGTGATGGGAAGTATTCTGTTCACACCCCAAGTTGGCATGGCTTAATTACCTTGAGTTCTCCAAGTCACGAACAGCACAGAGAAAATGCAGCAAACTCAAGCCAAGACAATAGCGAGATAATCTGAGAACTTAATACTCCAAAGTATTTAAGTAGGAACTGGGTGCCAAGAAACCGTCACTCTCAAGAAATAACACCATCGGCTAATTATCTGCACAACTGTTCCAGTCAGTACTCCCCAGCCTTGCTTACTACCTAGCAAAGATAGCTCTTCCACGGAGGAGGTGCAGAAAGAGCCAGTTTGGAGGAATGCAAGAAACTTACAGGGGAAGGGCAAACTCAGAGAAAAACCTAGCCATCTCAAGTGACAAATAAGCCAAGCCAAGGAAGGAATAGCAGAGAGAAAATTAGCAGGTGCCCCTAATCTCTTCACACAATTTGGATGCACACAGACACTCACACAGTCACGTGTTGATACCAATTCAAATATCTGGATGTTTAATTCATTCTGTGTGGAGTAGGGTCAGATGCTGGGAAGGCCTCATGGTTCTTAGCCTGGCTTGGAAAAGAAGGTGTGCCTTTTACTGGAATGTGTCGGAGCTGGGCTGCTCAGTGTTATTTCTCTCGGTTCCCTCAGTAACTACTACTTGACAGCACTAAGTCACACCTTTGTGGAGGTGACCAAGCCAGGCAGAAACAAAAATGGACTTGGTTGTACCTTCAAAAGGTCATTCGTCTCACCATCCTGGTGTGCCAAGGTCACCATTCATAATGGTTGTCATTATAAGGAAGACAAATGGTGAGTTCTTACTTCTAGCCTTCTAGATGCATTACAAAGACTTTGCAATCTCTGACTAAGCATTGCTCACCTCTGCTGGCTAAGACACGGTGGCAGGTGATCCATCAGTTGATGAAGTGCACTCTCTTTTATTGGTCCATGTCTTCAGCCCCATGGTATTGCTCAAGAGAGGCAGGAGGGAGGAGAAAGCCAAGGACATGGGGAGCCAAAAAGAAAAGTTGCAAAAGGGTGGATGTTCAAATCCATTTGCAAAGTGTCTACAGGCTCACAGTCCTCCCAGGTTACAAGGCCCAGTGATAAGTCTCCAGGTACCCCCCCAACAACCCCACCATTGGAGTCTCCAGCTCCTTCCTGACCATCGCACCTAGGCTCTTTTCTGCTTTTCTCTTTCATCCTTTCATTTCTATGTCTATATTTTTTTTAACTTTCCTCTGGTTGCAAATCTGCACAATACTTCGTTCACTTTGGGATGATTTCATATGAGACACACACACAAAAAATGATTCTAAAGAGGAAAGACTATAAGAATTAATATCTGCAAAGCAGTTTTCCCCTGGAACACACACACACACAAACTCTCTCTCTCCTCCCTCCCTTCCCCCCCCCTCTCTCTCTCTCTCACACACACACACATTTTCTCTCAGCATTTTTTTCTACAATATAATTTTTAGTCTGCTTTGTGATTCCAGAGAAAATGTCTTCTTTTCATTCTTATTACATTACCTTGTTCAATGTATCTGACTTTGGCTCTCATCTGGGGTTCTCCTCTAGTTACTTACCATAAGCCCACATTCCTTAATATTTTAAAAATTAAAAAAGAAGCTGGGCTTTGAATCTTGCTTCTGCTTCTCCTTAGGGACTAAAAGATCTTACATATCTTACTCTTCTGAGAATAAGTCACCATCGTCATCTTGACTGGCTAAATTGGTGGTTCTCAAGTACAGTTTTGCTTGTGTGCCCCTATACCCTCACCTTGCTCTGGGGGGACATTTGAAAACATCTGAAGACATTTTTGGTTGTCACAACTTCAGAGACAGAGGTGCTACTGGCCTCTAGAGGGTAGAGGTCATGTACACTGCCACACACTCTATAATGCACAACAAAGAATTATTCAGCTAAAATGACAACTGTGTTCATTGAGAAACCATGGACTCTAGGAATACAAGAGCAAGCTCATAGCCACCTCCTTTTTCCCATTTAGTTTTTCAGCAATTGGGATAAAAATTACCAAGACTGGGCCCTTTCTTTAGTAACCAGAAGTGAGCAGAGGTGGTAATTGAAGTTTTTTTTTTCACCACATCCAAGGGGAAGGGAGGAAGATAGCCTTGGCATCAGAATCATTTCTGAGTGAGAAAAAAGCCCCCACCCTTATTCTTCTGGCTAATGTACAGGTTGCAAGTCACGTGATTATGCAGAGATTACAGTCCACCTTGGTTCTTGGAAGTCCTCATTCTCCACGCAGTGGCTCCTAAGGGTCAGGTGAAACTTCCCAGCTGCCTCCGGTTCGTGCCGTCAGTAGGAGACCCCAGATGAAGTTCATCCTTGCGACCACACCCACCTCTTTTAATGAGGCCATGTAGTTGCTTAGGTGCGAAGGACACATGCCACCTTTTCCTAAATCACTTGCATATAAACATGTTTAATGCCCTCCAATTTCCCCCCTTTCTCTTGGCAAGAAGCATGAAGGCCACAGACCCATTCTTCTTGCAAGTGGACATGAACTTCACAATAAAGGCAAACACCAATCACAACCACATACAGCATCATAATTCACAGGAAACTGTACGTTGGCTTCCCATACGGGATGTACTTCAAAGTAACAAAATGAGTTTATCAACTGTAGTGTTCCTTCTTCCCGTTAGAAGTCGATTTTTTTTTTTCCTCCCTCTCTCCCTCATGGTACATAAATAGCAGAGAAAAGTCGTCTTGGACATATTTACATCCAGGAGTTCCCAGCTTGCTAGGATATGGGGTCTGTTTTGGGTTGTGTTTCGAGGGTCAGTTTTCATTTTCTCTCCATCCACGTGCGTTCTTCCCAAATTTATACACCAGTCTCCGTCCGTCCACCCGCTCCAGGATTTCTCTTTTGTAGTAATATCTGTAACAGAGGACATTGGTAAGGTGGCTGCTCAGACGGAGCCTGCCGGGGACTACCTGGTTGTGCGGCCATCTGGTCTCGGAGACCAGCAGCTCCTCACCTCATGGCCCGGCTGAGCTTCTCATAGGTCATGCTGCTGTTGTTCTTCTTTTTGCCCCAAAGCTGAGCCACTGCCTCCGACTTCAAGAACCTGAAGATGCCCTCTGACCTGTCTTCCCACTTGATTAACCCTGGGTTCTTGTCTGGATTGAGGAGGATGTCCCGGATGAATTCCCATAAGTGAGTCCCTCGCGGGTCTGAGAAGCAGAAAGGGGAGTTTAGTGATGGCTGAACCAGGCAACAAGCAAGCACTGAGTTGGAACATCTTCCATCGGATGGGAGTTCCTCAATTCTCCCCCTATCCACCCTTGAAGCCGGATCACAAAATGACCAAATATTGTGCATATTAAAAAGATGTTTGACAATGAACTGGCACAGTTTGTTTTGTTTTTAGTTTGCAAAACAGGAAACTGAGACACAGAATTTAAGTGACTTGATCATCACAGTTCCATAGTTAACTTGTGGCAAAATCAAGAGGAAATAATAGGTGTTAGGTGTCCTATTTTTAGCGTATCTTCTAAGTATTGTTGACAACTGTTCTGGGATTCATTTCAACTTGTTACTTCCCCAAAAGGCAACTTCCAACCACTTTTATTTAGCAAGTACTTCATCAATTAAATCACTCCCACCCAGCAACTGTGCGCACGGATTGGGTTCTCGGATTGTGACTCCTAGAATAGAAGGGGGTGAGGTCTCCCTGGGGTTCAGGGAGTCAATTTGAAAATGAAGGGGTAACTGTAATAAGAATAGTGAATTCAATGATATCCCCTTGTAGACTTGTGACACACAAACCCACCATGCCTATCAGTTTGAGTGTTCCTACTGCTCTGTGGGATGACCTGGAGTAGCAGATAAGAAAGATGGCCAATTCCCTGCAATTTCTAGATTATACCATCTCATTTATTTCTGCACAACTCGCCTCCCCTTCAACACACACACCTTATCTCTGATATTTCATTCACTTCATAAGGTTTTATTATTGGGAGAAATCCAACTCCCAAGGAGCACGGTTGAATCTTAAGAATAAGGTCATTTTTTGGAACAAGTCCACAAAGTTAGGAAGCCAACCTTCAGCAAAAGCAAATAATACTGCATCTCAGCTGCTTCTCCTCATCTTTCTCCTCCTCCCACCCTCTTTTTTTTTCTGGAGAAAGGGAACCTGCTAACCCTTCACCTACAGGAAATCTCAGTTTCTGTAGAACAAAGAGCAGAATGAGGGCATATATTCGTTGGGGCTCCACTTCAGAGGGTTAATCTGCCAGTAGTGTTGCCTCTATTTTCTCACCCTCCCCAGTCTGAGGTGAAGAATTGGAGGCAGCAGGCAGAGGCAATATTTCTCTAGGAACTAGTGGCCTCCAATTACACCCAAGTTGAAGGACAGGCTAAGTGCCATCTGAAAGCCAGCCGACTTACTGTGCTTTTTGGTGTGGGACTTGACAGGGTGGTCTTGCTCCTTCTTTACATCAGGTGACTCTGCTAGAGAGAGAAACGAGAGTGGTTTAATTTACCTCTTCAACTGACATTTTCATTTCTTCATATACCCACATAACCAATATTTACTGAGTACCTACTGCATGCCTGGCACATTTCCAATACATAACAGAGAGGATAAGTGCTATGGAGAAAAATATTGTGGGGTAAGAACTGAGGATAGAAGTATGGAGATGAGACTAATTGGCAATTTACTATAAGGTGGTGGTTACAGAAGAGACCAGAAGGGTGTGAGGGAGACAGCCATGCAGAGAGCTAGTGCAAGAGTCTTCCAAGAATGAGAATAGTACGTGCAAAGGCCCTGGTGTCAGTGTGAGTTTGTTATGTCCACAGAGCAGCAGGAAGCCAGTGTGCCAGTGAGCAAGGGGCAGAGGGCAGGAGGTTCAAACTATTAAGGATTTGTGGGATTTTGGGCTTTATTCTGAGAGATATGGACAGCCACTGAAGGATCTAGGTCATTGAAAGGGTTTTTGTTTTTCATGATACAAAAAATGTAAACATTTATAACAAAGAAAGATGGCTTTTAAGCCAAAGGTGTGCCTTTTTTTGGCATGCAAGTTTACATTTTAATCAGCCTGACAAAGAGGCCATTGACTGGCCTGAGCTCAGTACCTAGGGCCACCCGGGCTATGGAAACACAGATTAGTTTAACAAATGACTCATTATGGTAACCCTGTGACTATCACCAGCAAGGAGATGACAGAGGCGGAATAAAACTGCTTGAAAAGAAAAATAAATGATCTAGCTGTGTGTGTGTGTGTGTGTGTGTGTGTGTGTGTGTCCTTCGGATGTCCAAGGCAGATCTTAACACACACATACAAATCACACAATCAAAAATCCACCCATTTGAATACAGAGTACTCCCTAAATGCAAGCCAGCTTTGTTAAGAAACTGGGCCAGCAAAATGCATCGCTTCTGCGTGTGTTACATTGGGACTTCCTAACCTAGGCTTCACTAACCTAGTTGTGGCCTTCGGACATTTCAGAGTGGAGAGGGTCTGGCGCATTCATTCAATTGTCAAGAGTGGTCCATTATTCAAAAAAAGTTTGAATAACTACTCATTCTTATTTTTTTAAAATATATGTTATTGATTTTTTACAGAGAGAAAGGGAGAAAGATAGAGAGTCAGAAACACTGATGAGAGAGAAATACCAATCAACTGCCTCCTGCACACCTCCTGCTGCGGATGTGCTCGCAACCAAGGTACATGCCCTTGACTGGAATCGAACCCGGGACCTTTCAGTTCACAGGCAGATGCTCTAGCCACTGAGCCAAACTGGTTAGGGCCCACGCGCTCCTATTTTAAGTAGTTAAGAAGAACAGCTGCTGCTATTGAGCACTTCCTATGTACGAGGCACGGAGCTAGGCGTGTTACAGAGCTCTATTTCATTCAAACAATAACCCTATGAGGTAGGTACTGTTAAGACCCAACGTTTACAGTGATGGAGGAGCTGAGACACAGAGAGGTCAAATGACTTGTCTAAAGTCACACAGCCTGAGAGGTGCCAAGATGCTAGCACAGTCGGTTTGAACCCAGAGCCTTTACTATAACCACTAGTCTCTGCCATTTCTTGAGCTCCTGGCACATAACAGATTTGACGAGTCTTCCCTGCCGAGAATCAGGGCCAGCTCTCTAACCATGCTATAGTTAGTGGGAAAAAGTAAGTCCAAGTTGAAGATTCCGTATCGCACGGACACATTTGCCTCTCTGATCACCCAGCCTGCCAGGTCTCGGGCTCCCAGCAGTTTCCCTGAGAGCTGTGGCAAGGTGAGGGAGAGGGATTTAATAAGATCTGGTTAGATAAGGAACCTCTTGTTCTGGTGAAGAATTCCTCCCCCGGCTTTGTCAGCCAGAGACCCGCACCTGCTTTGGGTTTCTCTGAAATCCAGAAGGACAAATTCACAGGAAACGCAAGGAGACTTCACTCTCCCTCCCCGCAGGTTTCAGGGTGAGGTTGCAACATCCCATCAGGATGTGACAATATTGCAACAGGTCTGGCGCTCACCCCGGTTTCCAAGTGATACATCACCCTGACAGGGCCACGTTGTTCTTCAGACAAAGAGTGGCATTTACCCAGCAGGCCACAAGCAAAGCTCGTCTTCAAATGGCAGGGCCTTTATTTCAAAGCCAGGGTTGAATTCAGGAAAAAAAAAAAAAAAAAAAGTCTCCCAGTTTTTTGGTCCCAATCATTGCATATGGGTTCCACGCTGGTGTTGAAACAATTACTTTGGGGTTAAGGTGACTTAATGAATAAGATGGAAATCTTAAATCCTTCTCCCCAGAATCGCAGGGGCTTGTGGCTCACATCCAAGTCCACGGACTCCAAAATTAAAAAACCCCAGACCAGATAGACCATGAAGGAATTTTCTCTCTGAGATGTCACCCATTTACCTCTAAGCTAGACCTCCGTTCAGTTTGGCAAAGACCAAATAAAAACGATTTCCCCATACAAATGTTTCCATCATCACACGGAGGAGGATGCAGCCAAAAGCTAAAGGAAACCCTGATTCCTCCAGCCTCCTTGTCCCGCGTGTGAGGGCAAGCTGTGGAACCCCTGAGCTGCCTTCACACTCCAATCTTTTGATCTGAATGAAACCTCCCTTTAATATGATGGCCTCTCCCCTTCCATATGCCCCTCAACCCCCCTCCCCCCCAATAAAAGTCAAAACCTTTGAAGGCAGCCATGTGGTTAGGTGATTCACGCTTATAAAACGAGGACTCGCTCCGGGGAAGTGGTCCAGCTTGGCTTTCTCTCGCTGGGCACCCAGGCCTCTCAAGGCCAAGGTCCGGCCAGGGCAAGGGCAGCACGAAGGCCCGGGGTGCCTGATGCAAGAGCCAGAGGGTGACTCCAGCTAAGCTGCTTCGCAAGAAGCGAAGATTAGGAGCATTTGCATATGATTCAGCGGTGAGCCATTTCTTTACGGGATATACAAATTTCAGTGTTATAATAGACCGCGCCACCCTAGCTCTGGGCTCAGCAAGTCGGTGAATAAACACATCAGGCCCGAGTTGGCGTGATTGGCTCGGGGACTATCTTGGCTCAGGGACTATCGGGCAGATCAGGAACACTGGCGGCAGCCATTTTATGGAATGGGCAGATGGCAGGGAAATCAAAACAGAGCCCGCTGCCCCGCCCGCCTTTATCACCGAGGGCATCAGTTTACCGGGCCTCACCTTCGCTCCGCTGGTAACTTGCATTAAAACATAGAAAGGTACTTAACTGCATTCAGTCTAATGGGAGCTAAGATAAAGACTCAGACAAACGACAAAGGTCTTTTTTTCCCTCTGGGCCCACCCAAGAGACACTAAACTATACTGAAAGAAATGGATAATCAAATATCCTACTGGAGGGCTGTTATGCCAAAGAATGTGGCAACCCCTGACACTCAGTGGGTTCTTTCTTTATTTTTTGTTATTATTTTTAAATATATTTTTTATTGATTTCTTACAGAGAGGGAGAGAGAGAGAGAGTTAGAAACATCAATGAGAGAGAAACATGGATCAGCTGCCTCCTGCACACCCCCTACTGGGGATGTGCCCGCAACCAAGGTACATGCCCTTGACCGGAATCGAACCCGGGACCTTTCAGTCCACTCAGTGGGTTCTTTAAAGAATAATTCTGGTGGGAGACATGAATTTATTATCTCATTTTCCAGCCTGTGGTACACTCTCCCCTGGTGGGGTAGGAATGAGGGGTAGGGGGACCAAGGATCAGGGGAGCTCATGGGGAGCAGATTGGTAAAGCCCATTTAAAGAAGGCCTTTTCAAAATTAGGAGACTGGCCGAAACCGGTTTAGCTCAGTGGATAGAGCGTTAGCCTGTGGACTGAAAGGTCCTGAGTTCGATTCCGGTCAAGGGCATGTACTTTGGTTGCGGGCACATCCCCAGTAGGGGACGTGCAAGAGGCAGCTGATCGATGACTCTCATCGATGTTTCTATCTCTCTACTCTGTATCTCTCTCCCTTCCTCTCTGTAAAAAAATCAATAAAAATATATATTTTTTTAAAAATAGGAGACTGAGTTTTCTGCCACTGTCAGTCTGAAAGCAGGAACTGGCCTCTGAGCCCACAGACTCTGAGGTTCAGAAGTCAGGACATGGAAGAGAGGCCCGGCGGGGAGGGAATCTGGACTGTGATTATGGCGTTTAGGTTTCCTCGGTGCCTCAACACTTAACAACCCCCGAGGCTCAGGAAGTAGTTGGTTCCACCTTACTTCTAGTTGGAATCCTTTGCCATAAGCCAGAGACCCAACCGGAAGGACGTGGGAGGCGACACCTTAGGAAGTGTGAGAGGAAGTCAGAAGGGGAGCAGGCGGGTGGTTCCCTCGGCTCTGAAACCCTGCTCCAGACTGGGTGGCTGCGATTGCTACAGAACTGTTGCCTCCATTGGCTCAGTTCCCCCAGAAGGGAAAATCCAGTGTTGAATCTGCTTCTTAATTTCCACAGATAGGTAGAGAAATGAATTGACTTCGGTTCCTAACCTCAATTCCAGAAGCATTTACACTGGCTCCCAGCCCTGTCTCATTCAAGGGGCTTGACCCGTACAAAACCTCAAACCAAAAGCTTTCATTATTTCAGTTCTCAAAAACATACTCAACAAAAGCAAAAAAAAAAAAAAAAAAAAAAAAAAGAGGGAGGAGAGGTTGTTGTTTGATTCTGTGCTTTTTTCCCCAAACATTCATTTAAACCCAAGGTCTGAAGTTGTCCCAAATTCAGTTCCAAGAAAAGAGTGATTCACTTGGGACAAGTCTAAGCTCCATTTCACGGACCCGGACAGATCCACAAGGTGTGTACCCAGACTGAGGGTCAACATGAAACCCTCTATTCATCTCCCTAATGCAAGCATTCCAGCCTGGTACATGCCAAGGTAGCTCTTTGTAAGGAGGGGGGAGTATAACCTGCAAGCCCCTCTCCCAGACTTTGAGCAGACCAACCCTCTCATTCAGTGTAACCTTGATGGCGTCATGAATAGGTGCATCTAATCTTAACCAATTACAACTACCGGTAACGTGAACAGGATTCAAAAAGTGGCTGGAGAGTCCTGATGAGCCAGACTTCAAGAACTGGCAAAAGAGTGTGATTTCTGGGGTTCTGAACATTTCCAGTTGCTACCCCTCTACCCAAAAGACCATTGCACAGGTTTACGGACTTCCGCTAGACATTCTTTCTCTAAAGCCAAATAATTTGTCCAAAATCAACTTCTTCCCCCATGAGCATACTCAAGTAGGAATAATTTTATCAGGTAGTTTCCCAAGAGCCAGTTTCTATTGCAAAGAGAGTTTTTGTCACACAAGAAGAGTGGCGTGATTTCACAGGAGACAAACACTTTTCCCAGAGGCACCCGTGCTGGGCATATTCAATGGACAAACATTGGCTCAAAAGCAGATCTTTTATGAATAGTAACTCTGTCCCTTTCCCTGCTTTTAAATCAGAAAGACTCCAGCAACATGGAAACATAGGATATTGGTAATTCTCATTACCGCTCAGTAAGCGACAGCATGAGGCACAGCCTCTGATGTCAGGACAACTTACCTACAGGAAGGTGACTGGTGGTTGTCATGGAGATCTGGGCTCGGCAGAAGGTTTTGCTGTCCAACAAATCTGTAGCCACGAAAAGATAAAGGACATTGAGAGCCCCCTCTGACAACAGAACTTTTCGGCTATTGGGATGGCAAAATCAGAATGGAAAAGGGCATTCGGTGCTGGGGTGTTAGTTACCTACTGTGCTACCATAGTTGGTGTCATATAAATAGTTTTCTTCTTTCCAGGTGTTCATGATGGAAGGGTCTACAAAGGACAGAAAATGGGAATGGTCAGCAATCATCACCCCTGGGGAAGAGCTTCCCTTTTCTAACTCAGGGCTCATCGGGGAGGCAGAAGATCTAGGGGGTGGCCTCCAGAGAGTAAGGAGACAATTCTACTTCAGCCACCTGTTACTTGATAATAATGTTACTCCCTGTTTCTTCCAGTGTCCTGGGAAAATGGACTCTGCTATAGCTCTATCCATGTGTTCTGCACCTGTTGCATTGTGGGGAAGTTGCAACAGTGAAATTCTGACCTAGACCAATGCTTGGGGTTCCTGGGAGTTTTCTCAGATTGAACCCGGCAGGGGGTGGGTTCGGGCGCCTGGCCTTGTCTTGCATTCTACTACACAGGGACCAGAATATGTTTACACTAGAAAAAGACATTGTTCGAGACAAATAAATTTAGGATTAATGAACAACTTTTTCCAGTAATACATTCCTGGAGGAATTAATGATGTTTCTGACTAGAAAAAACAAAAAGTCCAGTCAGTTTCATCATAGTGTCGTCATTGCTGCAATCCAGAGAGATCTCTCTCTTCTCCCTCTAGGATTTCTCCAGTTAGCTTAAGGGACAATGTAAAATTCTCAAAACACAAATCCAACAACTTTTTTCCCCTCTTTTTTAAAAAAATATATTTTATTGAATATATTTTAAAATATATATTTTATTGATTTTTTACAGAGAGAAAGGGAGAGGGGTAGAGAGCTAGAAACATTCACCAGCTGCCTCTTGCACACTCCTCACTGGAGATGTACCTACAACCAAGGTACATGTCCTTGACTGGAATCAAACCTGGGACCCTTCAGTCCGCAGGCTGACGATCTATCCACTGAGCCAAACTGTTAGGGCAAATCCAACAGCTTTTAAGAGTAGGGCCCCATTGCCTCATCTTGCAAAAGCGTCTCTCTCTCTCTCTCTCTCTCTCTCTCTCTCTCTCTCTCTCTCTCTCTCTCTCTCTCTCTCTCTCTCTCTCTCTCTCTCTCTCTCTCTCTCTCTCTCTCTCTCTCTCTCTCTCTCTCTCCAAGCATGTCTCACTCTGATTGACTCTTCAGATTTCAGATTCAAAGGAAACTCCCCTCTACCTTACCCCAACTGAAGCCCAACTCCTACGCAACCCCCACATCTGGGCTAGTCTCCAACAGAAGCATTTTCTTTCCTGGCTGGCCAAGAGCTGCAAGATCTGGCAAAAAGTTCTCACCTCGTCCCTACCAGGAACTTCCTGCTTTCTTCTCTTCACAGACCAAGGCTGCCCTCGGCTCCCCTCCTGCCCAGCTTCTGAATCTCTGGGCCGGGTGGTAAGTCACTGGCCGAGTTTCATTTTGTTTTTACAACATAAAAGGTATAAAACCTGAGTCACTGGCTAAGTCCTCTTGTTTACGACACAGGGATTTAGCTGGTATTTTAACTAATAGCTACATGTTTGGGCACTCCAAGCCCAATCTCTTGGGGTTACACCCTCTCTCCTTGTTGGGTCACCTCGTACACCTGTTGTTGTCTCTGAAAACAAACTGAACCAAAAGGTTTGGAGGTGTTGGCCCCTCTGTTAGCCTCTTCTCCCCTCCTCCCTGGGCGGACCTTCTCCTCCACCCTTTGGCTTAGCTTTTCTGAACTGGCAACACAAGAATGTCTGGACGGTCAAGGAGGAATTATCAAGTTACTTGGGACCTCTGCATGCCATCCTGGCTACATTGGGGCTCTCTGCCCTGTCACTGTGGGGGTGGGGCACACCATCTCTCTGGTAACCCCTGTGCCTGCCTCTATGACAGGCAGACCCATAAAGCACAGGCCATCCAGGTAACCCAACCCTTGGTCTGTGGGGGAAGGCAGGGCGAGGAAAAGCTAATTAACATACTTAGCAGCTATTATTTTTTTCTTTAATAATAGTAGACTAGCCCCCTTATAAAAGAGTAAATAACTGCATGGGGCCAATTTGGGCTCTGGGTGGCTCACAAATCACCCCGAGGTGCAATTCTCCCCTTAATGACTGGCCCGCAACTCTCAGGCAGGCCTTTGGGCGCTCATGGCTTGCAGGCTCACTGATGAGGACCTGGGGAGTGACCCGGGAGCAGTGACAGCTGCGCAGTCAGAAACTTGCACAGCTCTCCTTAGACCAAGAGGCCATAGGCCAAAGGTCAACGTGTAAGGAACTCTGATGGGTGCAAGGCCACTGGGCACAACCTCTTGAGGCAGTTATTGCCCCCTGCAAGTATCCAGGTGAGAGATTGGGATGGGGGAAGGAGAACAAAAATGAATATAGATACCACAGGGCTGGAGACCCCATTCAGAGCCCAGAGAAATCTTTCACTAAAGATTTCACATAAAGCAGAAGTTGGTAGCTGCCTTTGACATTCCTACGGAACCTCTGAGAGCCCTAGAAACCACAGTAAGTACAACAGCAAAAACTCTTCCTCTTCTCTCCCCTTGCTTCTCCCAACTTGGTCAAGTGCCCTGACTCTGTGGTGAGAAGGAGGCCTATGTAGACTCTGCAACGTTTCCAGCTCCTGGAGCAGAGGCTGGATGGTGCCCTGACCAGCAGTGGGAAGCAGAGAAGTGTGGGCAGAATTGGTCTCACCATCTGTCTAGAAATCAGAAATAGTTGGCAGTCGCCGGTCCCAAGCACAGGGTATGAGGCTCACCGAGGGTGGCCTGTTGGAGACAG